TGATGTTGGCCATTGGTTTTGCATAGATGCCCTTTATTATGTTGAGAAATTTCCCTTCTATACCTATTTGATTGAGAGCTTTTATCAGGAATGGGTGTTCGACTTTGTCAAATGAAAAAGGCACCAATTTTAAAAGCAGTGTACACTGTACAAACCGAAAAGTGCACAAATGAAGGTTTTCACTAATCAAACATATGTCATCAGCTCTCAGATTAAGAAACAGCATCATGAGCACCCCAGAAGTACCATTCTTGCCCCTTTCTAATCACTGTCTTCTTCCTCCTTAGAAGTAACTTCCTAACTTCTAAAACCAGATTGGTTCTGCCTGTTTTTTACTTTATATAAAAGGAATCATGTATAATATACTCTTTTTTGCTCAGCATTATGTTTGTGAGTGTGTTCGTTTCCTGTTGCCACTGTAAAAAATTACTACAAACTCAGTAATTTAAAACAGTACAGATTTATTCTCTTACAGTTCTAGAGATCCGAAGTCCAAAATCAGTTTTACTAGACCAAAAAGTCAAGGTGTCAGCAGGGTTGGTTTCTTCTGGAGGTTCTAAGGGGAGAATCCATTTCCTTGCCTTTTTCAGGTTCTGGTGGCTGCCTGTATTCCATGGCTTATGGGCTCCTTCTTCCATTTTCAAAGCCTGCTTCCATTATCTAATCTCGTTTTACTTAGTCAATTCTCCCTCTGCCTCTACATTTAGGGCCCACCTGGATAATCTAGGATAATATCTTCATCTCTAAATCCTTAACTTAATCACATTTACAAGGTCTCTTTTGCCACATAAGGTAATATTCACAGGTTCCAGGGATTAGGACCTGGATGTCTTTGAAGGCCATTATGCAGCCTACCCCAGTGAGATGTATCCATATTGTTGCATGTATTTATACTTTCATTCTCATTGCTTTATGGTATTTAATTTATCCATTTTTATTATATCTAAAATTTATTTATCCGTTCTGTTGATGAGCATTTGAGAGTTTCCAGTTATAGGCTATTATGAATAGTGCTATGGTGAACTCTTTTTTTTAATAATTTATTTTTGTTGTTGTTGAGAATATATACCACAAAAACATACACCAATTCAAGTTTCTACATGTACAGTTCATTGACATTGATTACATTCTTTGAGTTGTGCGGCCATTTTCACCCTCCTTTTCTGAGTTGTTCCTCCCCCATTAACATAAAGTCACTGCCCCTAAGGTTCCTATGTAATCTTTTGAGTTACTATTGTCAATTGGATCCCATATAGTAGTTAGTTCTTAAAAGAGCATAGTGCTCAAGGCAGACATTCTTTACTAGTTAAGCTAAACTATTGTTTGGTTTTAAGAAGACTTCAGGGCATATTTTTGTTTTAAGGTTTAAGGATTATCTTAGGCCAGTAGTTTTAGGGGTTTATCCAGCCTCCATGGCCCCAGAAAGTCTAGATTCCATGAGAATTTTTTATTTCTGTTCTGTGTTGCCCCCTTTTTGATCAGGATTTTTCTATAGAATCTTTGATAAAAGTGCTCAGTAATGTAGCCAGGCACCATCCAGTTCTTTTGGTCTTACAGCAAAGGAGGCAATTGTCTTGAGCATTCTTATACGATGTCTTTTGGTGAGTATATGTATGAATTTCTGTTGAGTATATACCTAGGAATGGAATTGCATATATTCGATTTTAATATGTATTGCCAAACAGTTTTCCAGAGTGTTTATAAGAAGTCATTTTAATGTGTGCTGTAATAATGAATTACCCCAATGGTCTAGTGGCCTGAGAAGTATTTCTTCTTATTACTGACTGACACAGATTATTGCCCATCAGAAGAAATACAGATTTTAGATAATCATAAACAGTATGTTGAGTGGAAATTAGTTGCAGAAAAATCTGTGATTTAATTTTTTAATTGAATTTAAATTATTCTGTTATAAAACCAAAAAACCAAACCCATTGCCATCGATTCCAGCTCACAGTGACCCTATAGGACAGAGTAGAACTTCCCCATAGGGTTTCTAAGACTGTAAATCTTTACGGAAGCAGACTGCCACATCTTTCTCCTGCAGAGCAGCTGGTGGGTTCCAACTGCCAACCCTTGTTATAAACATATTTAAATACACAGATATTTCCTCATATAGGTGGTTCCTAAATTATATATATATCCAACTCATATTTCCAAGGGCCATCAGGAAGAATTATTCAATCCAGATAACTGGTTTCACTTCCATTGGCTTCACTTGGATTTTTTGTCTTCCCTGTCCCCAACAGCTTGGCCACAAGTCCTTCCCTGCCCCCCGTATTTTCACCTTGCGCCAGGACATAGCGTAAGATTGGCCCAGGTGGAGAGAATGACAGTGTAAATAGCCTCCTCTTGCCTACCACCACTTGTCTTCAAAGGCTCTTATCCTGTTTCCTCAAAATAAAAGACCTACCCTTACTATTTATATCCAGACTTGCTTTTTTCCCATAGAAGATGTAAATGAAAGGAGAAAGTAGAGAAGCAAGGGAGGTAAACTTTTAACTTTTGATTAATTTTTACCACTTTACCAAAACTCAAGCTCCTTAGTAGAATCTTAGAATAGAGTTTCTCATCCTTAGCATTGTTGACATTTCGGGCTGGATAATTTTTTGTTGTGAGGGCTGTCCTGTGTGTTGTAGGATGTTTAGCAGCATCCCTGGCCTCTATGCAGTAGATGCCAATAGCAGCTCTCCTCCCCCCATTTTTGACCGCTCAAAAATGTCTTCAGATGTTGCTGAATGATATCCGCTGGGGGGCAGAATTGCCCCCTGTTGAAATCAGTGCCTTAGAACGTATATGTTTTTACTTTTAGAATGGAATACTGGGGAAAGACTGTGAAGCTGAACCTCTGTTAGAAGTAATACGTGGTGTCAGTGAAAAAGACAAAAAGAAACAGGGTGATTTGGAGAGAAGAAGCCCAGTGTTAAAATGTATTTCCATGGAAGCCAATCTTACAGGAGGCTCTTGACTCCATGTCTGTTGATCCCTTCACCCGTTCGAGCCGCAGTCCACTTCTTATAACTCTGTCTACCTGCTCCCTGCTTTTTCACCATAACGAAACCCAGTTTGAATAGATCAGGTGTGCTATCTCATTAGTACTTCTTTTAGCATGTTATTTTTGAGTGCTTAGATTTATATATGGAGAACTAAAAGAAGGAAAGTAGTGTAGTGGGAATGCACATATAGAGATAATTTACAATATATGAAACATATGAACAAAGGGGACCAATTCTTTTGTACTATATCTTTACATATGTGATTTCATTTACTCACCAGGTTGATGTTGATAGTTCCAGAATGGCAGACTGGTGACACAGGCATACCATAAAAAGTAACAGGCATACTTAGGGGATCAAATTGACAACAACAACTCAAAAGATTAGATAGAAACCTTAGGGGGCAGGGGGGACAGTGAGCTTATATTAATGAGGGAGAAACAATTCAGAAAAGGAGGATGAGAATGATTGCATAACTCAACTAAATTGTACATGTAGAAACTGTTCAGTTGGTGTATGTTTTGCTGTGTATAGTCTCAACAACAACAAAATAAATAAAAAATTAAAAAGTAACAGGCATATGATATGCAAGATTTTAGATTATTTATGAAACTATCTTATGCATAATGGTAGTATGGAGAATAATGTAGTCCACAGCTGCTTTCTTTCATATTATCATGTGTGTTTCTTGCCTTTGTACATTTTATATAAAGGGCACTTGGATGTCTGTCACTGACATGGAAGTAGTGGAGGTAGAGGAAGATTTGCCAGAACAGTTAAGTTTTTTGGTATGGTTAGGGAGACAGAGAAGGATAGTGTCAGAAAGGATGTATCTAGCAAAGGAAGAGGAAACTGCTTGCTGTTAAGGCAGCTAAGGATCCTCTGATTACTGGGGGAAAATACAGGAGGCTCTACATTGTCTGGTTATGCAAGTAGCTTCTTAAAAGTTTGTTTCTTTTGTACCTATAAAAGATGCCATTAACTCCATATTTGTGGCATTAATAAACTTCTAGAATCCATGTTGTAGGATATAGTAGTATGGTTAAGATGTGAAGAGATAACAACGGTATTTATTTCAGAAATTTATTTGGTGTATTACACAGGATAGAGTATGTTTTATAAGCTTAAATAATGTTAGGTTTACATATGCAGTTGCATGATAAATATAGCCCCTACAAGATTT